CCCCCCCGCCACATCGCAGCGCACCATGGTTCGCCAACCGTACCAAGATCCTCCAGCCGAGACGCTCGATCGAACACGCCACCGACGGAGCTAACGGCTCAGATGACGATGATGCAGCAGCCATGGCAGCAGCGGCACACCAGCCAGCGCCGCAGCCGAAGAGCAAACCCAAAAGGGCAGACCGAAAGGCAAGGCCAAGGGCAAGGCCAGCACCCAACTGGAGGCTTATGGAGCTCGCCAACCATCCAAGGACCCTCGCCATGGGCGGGCTGGAGGCAGTGGCGGCCGCCAACAGGGCTGCGAGAGGGAATGGATGGCAGAAGAGGCCGGCATGATGGAGGGCGGGGGCGGCATGATGGAGGACTCGGGGGATGAGCTAGAGGAGGATCGCACCGTCGATGACGAGGAAAGCATAGAGGTACACACAACAGGAGAACACAATCACACTCATGGAAACAGTGGATGGGCTTTTCTCTCATATAGGCCTGCTCACTTCATGGTGTTCCGTTGGGCGAGAAGCTCAATTTGAGTGCCCTTATCTCTGACTTGGACCTCTCCATGCTGCCGGCCGCAGGTGGTGTGGGCCAGGAGCGAGGTCTGCAGACCCGACTGGTGATGAGCGAATCAGCGGCCATCGCATTCGGCAAGAGTGGGGAGATGCCCAAGGAGCCGACTGCCGACAGTGAAGTCGAGGAGGCCGACACCAATGCCGCTGTTGATAAGGGTAGGTGGGAGCAGCACGAGCACCAGATACCAGCACACGCCACGTTTGCTCGTGCTGCTCGTTCCAGTTGTTGTTGGTGATGCGCAGGCCGCCATGAGGGGGATGGCGGCCGTCGAGCGCTACGTGAGTGCCCACTGTTCGTTGCGGCTTCAGGACAGAAGCACAACAGAAGGGACACCTCAAGCGTGGCCCGTGACTGAGTTTGAGTGAGTGAGTGAGTCGTGCTGCCGTACCTCATCTAGGCAGATCTGTCGTTCATGGCTCTGCATCGTTGGTGCATGACTCTGTCCATCCACACATCTACTTTTTCGGTGAGATCGGCGCTAGTTTCCCTCACAGGAAGGCCACCATCTGCCGCTGACATCCTCAAAAGTGACTGAAAGGCTCCGAAATCACGCTCACGAGCGATCGGCAACCTTTTCCGTAAATCCATATCATCCATCGTTTTTCGTCGTTTCGGAGTCGTTTGAGCGAAGAAAAAAGAGTCAATGCGATAGAGGGTGGCTCTGGTGAGTCATTCATGGCGAGAAACCCCGCAGAAAACAAGCAGCAGATAAGCAATCATTGCCTTGTTCGCATATACCCATCAAATCCATAAAGCAATCACCCCTGTATTGTATTCGTCCTTCAGGCCCGCAGTGCAGTGAGGACCTGTTGAGCGGACGAGTCCGCTTGTCCACCGCTCAGCCGCCTCTCGCGAGATCTATTAGCGGCCTTATCCATCGCGCCACGTAGCGGCTTCTCGTCCGACGGTGAGTGGGAAGATGCGGCCCATGATTGAGTTGGTGATTTCTCGGCTGTTTCTCCTCCTTTTCGGATGAGCGAGCGTGTATCGGACTACACCCAACCCCCTCCACCT